GATATTATCCTATCACTGACAGCATTGTGCTTCAGGACAGATCTTGAAACATCCTTTGTGATGATGAATGCCACACCATTCGTCTTCAAACTGTCATTCCTGGCATAATAGATCATATGGTCGTCTGATTCAAAATGGTCCAAACCATTCCATTTCAGCTCACTAATGCCTAGGATATCAATCTTTATGTGTTCCATTTTATTTTTGACAAATTCCAATTTGCCTAGATTCATACTTCATACATTCCATATTCCAATTATTAATGGGTGTTTACAGCTGTTTCTTCTCAAATTGAGTCATGACACGTCAGCAAAAGGAGGTCCTGAAAGCTTTACTTTATCCGTATCATTAAGGTTGGTTCTACTCTGATGATGCAGTTCTTTCCCAGTTGTATTTTGAGTACCTTCCGACCTAAGAGGCACTGTATCGCACAATGTTTCTGGGCTATTCATAAAGTTGCACAGTAATGTATCAGACAGTGTTTCTCTGCCATTCATTCATAAGGTTTTCCCTGGCCAGTTCTTTGAGAAGTGGATGGCCTCTTCTTTCTTCCTAGTCTGTCCCAGTCTGTAAGCTGTGTTGAAACTTGTGCAACACGTGCTACCCTACTGGTGTTTAAAACTGGTGGCACAGCCTCCAGCCTCACAGCAACACGTAAGCAACCACAGTGCGACAAACTGACAGACAATTTTGTCTCCCTTAGCTGTTTGAAACTTCTCCACCCTCCCCTTTCCTGGATCCCACAGCTCTGTCGTCCTTGCTCTTCCCCTGCTTCCTGACTCTTGGGTATGGGACCTGTCTGCCTTCTCTTACCTGGAGCTCATGGCTCTGTCTTCCCTGGCTCTTCCCCCCTCTTCCAGTCTCTTAGGTGTGGGGCCTGTCTCCCTCCCTTTACCTGGCTTCCCGCAGCTCTGTCTTGTCCCCAGCTCTTGTCTCACTTCCCACATCTGGGTGTGGGTCCTATCTGAAAACAAAAAATTAACTGAAACAATGGTGGCACATCCATTTATTCTTCTTCCTAGCCCAGGTTTCTTTTGCCAGGTTGGAGTCTGTGGTAGGTACACAGGGGTCCCGAGCAGAATCCATCCTCATCCAGGCCCTCCACTGCAAAGGCTGTTGGCCGACTAGCAAAGGCTGTCAGTGGTTTCCGACAGGATGGCTCCTGTTTCTTTTTTCACTTTTATCTACCTTGTAGGGTATAATTAGAAGAATTCAGAAAACATGTTCCTGTCTGTTACCCCAGTGGCTTCTGAACCCGGCAGTGCTTGCCTTTGTCTCTTGCCTGTTGCGTGAGTCTGTGTCTGGCTGCCCTAACTGGATCCCGGTGTCCCCTTGTACCTACCACAAATCCTCAGGCAAATGGCAGATACTCCGTTTATTCCCTTTAAATAGTTCTTCAATAAAAGGAAGATACTCGTTCTCTGTTTTAATAGGTTTCCTGATGTAAAATTTATACACCGTGACATTCACTTGTTTTAAGGATGCAATTCAATGATTTTCAGTAAATTTACAGAATTGTGCAACTGTCACCTCAATCCAATTTTGTCAAGTGTTCATCACCCCAAAAAGATTATTGTGCCCGTTGGCATTCACTCACCATTACCACCCCACCAATCTATTTTCTGTTCCATGAAATTGTGCTGGCATAGTGCCTAAGGCATTTGACTGCTAATCAGAAGGCTGGTGGTTCAAACCCACCAGCCACTCCTCAGAAGGGAGATTGGACAATGTACTTCCATAGAGATACCAGCTCAGAAATCCAAGAAGGGGTCGCTGTGAGTCAAATCAACTTGACAGCAGTGAGTTTGGTTTTTTGTTTTGTTTTGTTTTGTTTTTTGTATGGAATTGCGTGTTCTGGACATTTTGTACAGATGGAATCACACAATACATGGTGTTGGGCAACCGGCTTCTTTCACTTAACATGCAGTTTTTTTGTTCAGAAGAAATACTAATGCTTAATTTGCTTCCTATGTAATATAATTCTTCAAAACAAAACACAGCTGGGAGGGCATAATAAGCTGCAAAAAAGGGCAGGGAGACAGCATCTCCTGACCACCTCTAACTTCACAAGAGGAAGACAGAATCAGTATCAATAGCCCAAGGCTTATTCCTACAAGGCCAGACATGTCACCATCCTCCAGCCTTTTACCAATTCTGATACCAGCCATTCCTCACACAGCACTCACTACTCTGCTAGGTTCGATAATCTGTTGCAGTGGCCACACAGAAACTCATGGTCATGGGGGTTTATAAGGAAAGTAACAGGCTACAACTCAGGTTCAGGAACTCTGTCAGGGTACACTTCTTGGATCAGGACAGTCTTGTCTCTGCACTTCACTCAGGCACGCCGCTCAGGCCCTTGGCCTCTCTGCCTGGCCTCTGCCCTGCTCAGGCAAGTGTTACAAAGCCCTGTTAGCTCTGCCGACAGGTACACCTAGGTGTACCCCACTCCTTCAGCAAGGCTTCTGCCCAAGGGCACTCAGCTTTCTCACTCTGTGGGCCAGGTAAGCCCGCACTCTGTCTCGTGTGTCTTGGTTCCTCAGCCAGGTCTCTGCTGGGTCGTCTCTGCCAAAGAGGTCCTGCACAGGGGTCTAGGATCCAAGGACACACTTCACTTCACTTCCAGCTCTTCTCTCTTGACGGCTGTGAGATCCCCCCTCTGCCTCTAGGAGGGTTCATTTTAAGCCTGGCAGAGAGACAGAACTAACCAACCAATCCCAACATCAGAGTTCTACACACCTTATTTGCATTGTCCCACCCAGTAATCTGGTGGGAGTTACAAAGACTATGGCTAGAAAGGCCACACCAAGTCATTCACTGTACCGTACAAGCCTTTAAAATGGAATGGTCTTCCACAAAATTGTAGCAAATCCATTGCTGAGTAGAGCCAGCAAGTTACAGGGTGTGTTAGCCACTTTAATGGCAAGAAAAGCTAGCTGACGTTAAGGATATTAATACTGCTGGTTCTCTTACCGCCACCTCTGCCACCACCACTACTGCACTCTTCGGTGTCAGCGCCGTCATAGCGATTGGCGTTTATTGAGCTATTACTATGTTTAGATAATGTGCTTTTTGTGGTTCCTCATTAATCTCCACCACAACCCCAAGAGGTACTGTTACTGTCCCCATATTGCATGTGAGGAAACTGAGACCCTGAGAGGTTAGAAATTACTCGTCCAGGATCACACAGCCAGCAAATGACAGATGTTGGGATTTGAAACTAGTTCTTTCAGACTCTGGAGCCTCTTACCTTAACCCTGTGCTGTGTTGGAAGAAGGAGCTCTGATGACAAAGTAGTGGAAGCATTCAGCTGCTAAATCGAGGGCTCGCAGTTTAAACCCCTCAGTGGCTCCAGAGGAGCATCGCCTAGTGATCTGCCTGTAAAAGTTTACAGTCTAGGAAAACCAGTTCTACTCTGCCCTATAGGGTTGCTATGAGTTGGAATCCACTAGCCAGTAACAGCTCTGGTAGCATAATGCCTAAGGCACTTGACTGCTAGCCAGGAGGCTGGCGGTTCAAACCCACCAGCCACTCCTCAGAAGGAAGATGAGGCAATCTACTTGGGAGCTCTGGTAGCATAGTGGCTAAGACACTTGCCTGCTAACCAGACGGCTGGCGGTTTAAACCCACCAGCCACTCCTCGGAAGGAAGGTTGGGCACTCCTACTTCCGTAGTGATACTGCCTCGGAAACCCAAGGAGGGGTCGCTGTGAGTCGGATCTGACTTGACGGCACCTAACAACAACAACAACAACAACAACAGCCAGTACACAACAGGCTGTGTTTTCTCTTACTGATAAAAAGCTTGGTGGGGGTAGCCATGGAAACTAAACTCCCATAGGTGCCAGGCCTCTTCAGGCAGGGTAGGAGTTTTGCTCCCCTCAGTTGCTGAACCCCGTAGTCCCAGAAGAGGGCCCCTTACGTTGGCCATTCTTAGACACCAGTAGAGGGTTGTGTTCTGATCTCCCATTTAAAAAGTCAGTGAGATGTGAGCTGTATCGGGGGAGTGAGTTCCATCAAATGTTCTGCTTCCGATTGATAAAAGTTATGTGGGAAATTGTTTATTTAGACCAACTCTTTTTTTTTATTTCATTGCAGCACTTTATTTCGTTCATAATTTGAATATGGATAGGGATATATTGACTTCATCAAACTTCTCCAGCAGTGTTATGTTTGATGTGAATTTTCTTCTAACCAAGTCAACAAAGAACTTTAAATACTATTCTAGTACAGATCCTTCACATAAAATGTGAAAAATTAAAAAGCTAAAATGATTCACTTAAATTTTCCATATGGTGTTACAACTGAAAGAAGACTGACTCTATCTCACTTTCTAGTGGGGGGGGTGGGGGCTGTGTATATAGATCTCAAAGTCACCTTTAAATATCCTGTATATAGCATTCGCTTCAAAGTGTTAAACTTGAGATCTTGTTGATCAGTTCTAACTCTTCCCTAAATAATCTACCTTCATGTGTAGATTTAGATTAAAGCAGTGGCTACGACAGTGGGCTCAAACAAGGATTAGAGGATGGTGCAGGATTTCATTCTGTTATATAGAAGGTCACTAAGAGTTGGCGCCAACCTGACAGCACCTAACGATAACATGTATCTGTGCATGTTACAGTGAGAGGTACTAAAGATTTCAAAGACTACCACTCAGAAGCTTCTCTCCCATTAACTGAGAGAACACTCTTTGAAAGGCAGTGTGAAGGAGGGTAGTATACACAAAGATGTAGTAGATAATACACAGTCTAGTAAGGAAGGTGATCGGAGATCCCGGATAGACCAACTCTTTGCTGGAGAAAGGAGCTATCCTAGACTGGTTGACACACCAGTTTGTGTTTCATGTTCCAAAGGCCATGAATTTAAATGTATGCCAGATTACGCTCCCTTTTTGTGAGATAAAACAGAAAAATCATTTCAGAGAGGCTGGTACTCAAACGCCTTTCTTACCTCCTGTGTGCATGTTCCCTCTTTAATGGGGCTGTCCCATAGCTAACAAGAAACTTCCCAACCTGCCTGTCTTCTTGGAAGAGTCCTCCTCATCTCTTCAGATCTTCCAAGTCACAAGCCGTATTTAACACAGCAAACAATGGATCACACTACGCTCCACTGCAGACTTTTACCGAGGAGGAGTTGATGATTAAGAACATAGGTGAGTGATTTTCCAACATTGTTTCGTTCTCTCTGGTCATGGGTTGGGTCTACAGTATCAAATGACATGCGACATAACAGGGAGCTGTATGTGTTTAAGTTTGTGAAAGGAATTTTTGACATTAATTTTTTAAAAAAGCAATGCATGTATATGTTTTGTTTTGTTTTTACTTAGGGTAGAAACCTGTTTGATTACAAGCTGAACTCTCTCCCACCCCTGCCTTCTGCTTGCTAGTTCTCATCAGAAATTGCCTTGTTAGAGTTTCTTAGGTGTCCTTCCAGAGTCAGAAATGCAGATCCCATCCCACTGCCAACGAGTCAGTTGCGACTCACAGCGCCCCTAGAGGACAGAGGAGAACTGCTTCATAGGGTTTCTAGGCTATCATCTTACGGCGGGAGCTCTGGTGGCATAGTGCCTAAGGCACTTGACTGCTAACCAGAAGGCTGGCAATTCAAACTCACCAGCCACTTCTCGGAAGGAAGACAAGGCAATCTACTTCCACAGAGATACCACCTTGGAAACCCAAGGAGGGGTCGCTATGAGTCAAGTCGAGTTTGGTTTTTTCCACCAGAGCTCCTTAGAAATGCACATAGGTTCCCATTTTTTTCAGAGTGGGTTAATATTTCACAGAGAAATTAACTTTTACATTAATCCGTGCAGTTTCTGTGAGTGAAATAAGGAACTTGAATCAATAAGTTGTACACCACTGAAGCTTCAAGCAGCTTCTATTTATTTATTTATATGTGTGGGAAGGAGCTGTGGTGGTGTAGTAGGTAAGGTATTTGGCTGCTAACCACATGGTTGGTGGTCCAAACCCACCAGCCACTCTTCAGGAGGAAGATGAGGCAATCTACTTCTGTAAAGATTTACAGTCCTGGGAACCAACTAGATGGCACTGGGTATATGTGTGGGAGTCTATAGGTGAGAGACAAGTGTTCTAAGTTGAATCTGTGGCAATCTATCAGAGCTGTTGCAGTTGGAGAGCATGAGTGGGTAAATAAACAACTCCTGGTGAACTGTTACAGTCATTACTTTTAATACGCCTGCCACTTGGACATAGAAACTTAACAGTGTTTCTTTTTCCAACAGTTAGAACATTTGCCCAGCAACAAATTGCTCCTTTGGTTTCAACAATGGATGAAAATTCAGAAATGGATAAATCAGTAATTCGAGGACTGTTTCAACAAGGGGTATCTTTTTCATAATTCTTCCAGTGTCGAACTTGTCTGAGTCTGTGCTATTGTTAAAGTGTGTGCCCGCATCATGGCCTCTGCGTTTCCTCGTCACACTATCTGTTTTCTTTGAGGTGGAGATTGTCACTAATATTTATATACTTAAAGATTTCTTTAAACTGATTATTTTAAAAAATTAGAAATACTGTACCTTTAAGTAAAAGGTAAAAGGTTGGAGCCAGGAGAGAGTACGTGTTTAAGTCAGTGGTTCTCAAGACCTGCTGCAACACCCAGGACAGCCCCACAACTGAGAATTGCTGGGCTCTGTAGTGCTGAGGTTGGGAGCCCCACCTTAGACGGTCACACTGCCTCGGCATCATAGAACAGTACGTATTCCACCAAAATCCCCGTGTGTGTGGGCTCAGATGCAGAGACAATATCTGAAGTGCACATGAACCAGGCCAATGGATCTCAAAATTTTTTGGTCACGTCACACTTTACCCAGAACACAGCTTAGAAAACAGGTGAGAGTGGAACTGCCCTGGGGTGGGAGGTGAGGCAACGTGCGTGGAGCCTCTGAAGAGACCGGGTGACAGTCTGTGGGGTTGCTTTTCTTACTTTGAACACCAAGGACCTCACAAAGCCAACAGCTACTGTTTAGAGCCATTGGTCTCCATCTTGTGTGTCATCATCTTTGAAAAATAACCATTTCTACTTAACTGGAGAGTTTGGTTTCTTCCTGTTTGAAAGACCAACTTTTTTCACACTGTGGGTAGTAGTGATCTTTGAACAGTGAAATTCTTAGGAGAATGGAGTCACTCTGGGTCCAGCCCAAATGTAATGCACAATCGGTGGGCCCACTCAGCAGCCAGGCTCCTCCTGACTGTTTGTGGAGCCCTTAGCCATCTCCTCTGGCTCCAAAGTGTGACAGTCACTCTGCCAGGCACTAGTCCTGACGGCCAGAGCTGTCTGCAGGATAGTCAGTGGCCTGCACCCCGCCCCCATCTCCATCAACTGCTCTCACTTAGATTTCGCCTCCCCTTGAGCGTCTGCTAAGCTACACAGTCCTGGGCCAGGTGTTCTCAGCCTCACCTGATGCCTTCTGTCCCAGCTCCATGGTCACCAGCCATAATAGCTGATACAGAAACACTGTTTTCATTTAGGAGGAATTGTGACAATCTTAGAGAAGGACTGCCCCAGGTGCTATTGAAGACATTGTAGTCAGACAGTTCCCATGGCCCCTTCAGCCCTAGGGCACAACCAACTCCTCCAGTTTTCCTCAGAGAGCCTCATCTCTGCTTCTGTCACATTTCAGTCGCTCGGTGGCTCCACCTGCACACGGCTAAGGTCTCCTCCTGCTACATGTGACCACCGCCACCCAGACTGCAGCAGGGTGTGATTGCCCGTGTGTCCAAGAGACAGGAGTCATGTCCGTCTCTGTTAGCCTCTCTGGGGCAAGGACTACATTTGCATACATTCTCTTTCTGAAGTGAGGACACTTAAAAATGGGGTGCTGTGACAGTTCCATGGTCCCAACTTAGAAGTAGTCACTGAGCTTCGGTCCGGCACAGGCTTATTGGAAGACCTTGGCCATGTTGGGCGTGTTGACCAGTCAGCTGTGCCTCACCCGTCACAGCTGCAGTCAACACCACCAGTCAGCTGTAACCCTCTTGGACTTGCTGAAAGGGCCCATTGCCCAGAAGGATCGGCCGTTCCGTGACTACCTTGGCAGAAAGTATCAAGGTGGAAGGACCCGACTAGGAAAGATGATACCAGATGAAGCTATGGACGTTCCTGCTGAGGAGTGGTTTGCTCTCTTTAGCTTCCTTATTTTCGTAGAAAGCAGTGAAAGGTGGGGCTGTTGAACAATGTTACCTACGTGCTTGAGGCCGGCAATGGACAGCAAGAAAGGTCATGGGACTGTATTTATGTTCTGTCAGGTATTTTATTATTCCGTTCACTTGAAAAGCATTTTATCTTTCTGATTTTTGTTCTTGGACTTGACTGCAAAAAGAAACAGATGATAGTTCTTATATGTAATTTTACCCTTTTTGAATATATGCAGTTTCTGTTCTGGGGTTTTTGTTTGTTTGTTACCTGTAACACAGCAAAATAACCAAATTAAAATACGGGTACAGCATTTTTAATTAAGAACATACGTGGTTACAGCTTATTTTTAACTTGTGCTTATAATCTTCATGTCAAAACCATTTTCTGAACCACCGTGTCCTGATCTTCCCTTAGTTGATGGGCATTGAAGTTGACACAAAATATGGAGGAGCTGGGGCTTCATTTTTTTCTTCTATCCTGGTGATCGAAGAGCTGGCCAGAGTCGACCCATCTGTGGCTGTCCTATGTGACATCCAGAACACAATAATTAACACACTGATTCGAAAACAGGGGACAGAGGAGCAAAAGGCCGCATATTTGCCCCAGCTGGCTTCAGAAAAAGTGAGTTGAGTTTAAAAGTTGTCCACAAGGGTCTGATCTTTTCCTTTGAGGATGTTTTCAGAAGAAAACCAGTGTGCTGTGAACTTGACCCTGCCAGACCACGGCGCCTCATTGCCATTCCCTTCTGAGCAGAGCTTGACAATGGATGTGCAGGGAGACCACTGTGCTTCTAGGTGCCACTTGGACATTTGGAGAGTCAGCGTCCCATGAGATTGTTATCTGTCCCAGTTATACCTTCTGGTACCTATATGATGGTTTCATTTACATTAAGCTGGCTCTCTACCACAATTATTAGAACCACTGTAATGAAACTTAGCCTTACATCTATGTTCTTAAGTTTTCTAATTGTCTTAGATAAATTGTAAGGTATATTTTGAAAAAGAAACACTGTCAGGATACCATGACTGTTTTGACAAGTACAGCCTTTTACCAGTAGCTGGAGGTTTGGTTTCCAGTTGTCCTTACTGCCTAAGTGAATACTTGTTCATGCCACATATACATGGACTTACTAACCTGGACTCTTTCCTCAACTCTGGAGGTGGGAAGTTTCTGCCTTTCAGAGGCTGGAGCGGGTAGTGACTCGTTTGCTTTGAAGACCAGAGCTGATAAGAAGGGCGATTACTACCTCCTTAACGGGTCAAAGATGTGGATCTCCAATGCCGAGCACGCAGGCCTCTTCCTGGTAATGGCCAACGTAGACCCTGCCATAGTAAGTGCACAAATAAATGGTTCTTCTCTTCCCCTTCTTCTTTTCTCGCTCTTTCTTTCTCTTTTCCTCCTTCCATTTCCTTTTTAGGACTTAGCCTAAACTTCTTCACTCCCCCGGACTGTAAATGATAGCCATCGGCTGGCATCTTCTCACCCTCTTATTCACTGATCTCCTGAAATCAATCCTCCTGGTGAAATTCCTCATCATGGGGAGGGCCACATATTAATTATCTCCTCTGAGACTCGACGGTAGTGGGTTTGCATTTTGTTTGATATGTTATATAGGAAGCAAATCTTTAATTTCGCAGAATTGTCCAAAATTTCTGTTTTAAAAAAATGAAGAATTTAAGTACTTGTTTAGCACATTTATTCTTAAGAAGAATTTTTTTATTCAGTTGGAAAATAGACCAGAAAATGGTAAATATGTTTATCTTTTCTCTAATGTAATGTTTAATTGTTAGAACGTCCAGGTATTTCATACAATTAAATTTAAACATGTTGTTGTTGTTATGTGCTGTTGAGTCAGACAGGACTCATAGCGACCCCTCCTTGGATTTCCTACGGAAGTAGGTTGCCCAACCTTCCTTCTGAGGAGTGGCTGGTAGGTTTGAACCACCTGCCTTCTGGTTAGCAGTCAAGTGCCTTAGGCATTCTGCTACCAGAGCTCCTAATTTAAACAGGGAATTCTGTAATTCACGAGCATGTAAGGGCAACTTGGTAAGTTTCACACCCATGGATGGCTTCCGAAAAAGTAAAAGTGGTGAAGTCATTGATTTGGGTGCTTCCGTCCTCCGGTCATTCTTGCTTTGAAACACACGCATTTCAATTCTGAGTCTACTAGCACTTATTTCTGAAATCCAGCTTTAGTTTTCTTTTTACTTTGAGCTCTTTGGAGGCAAGGAAGTGTAGAAACCTAAGTGGTAATAGCATGTTAAATCTGCCTTCTAGGGGTACAAAGGAATTACCTGCTTCTTGGTAGATCGCGACACTGAAGGCTTTCATGTAGGGAAACCAGAAAACAAAATGGGCATCAGAGCGTCTTCCACCTGCTCATTAACATTTGAAAATGTTAAGGTGAGTATCCTGGAGTTTTCAGTACAAGACTGGTGTGAAGTAAGCACAGAAGAGATGTACAACAAAGGTGTCCAGATACCCAGTGGCTACAAGGGTACACAGGAGAGTCTTAGGAGAAATTCCCCAACAGTGTTCTTAGGTTCAAGGAGCGCTGATGACGCAGTGGTTGGGTACTTGGCTGCTGGATTCGAACCCACCAGCTGCTCTGCGGCAGAAAGATGAAGCAGTCTCCTTCTGTAAAGATTATAGCCTTGGGAATCCTGCGGGGCAGTTCAGCTCTGCCCTCCAGGGTCGCTATGAGTCAGAATCGACTGGACAGCAGCGATTGTTTGGGTTTGGTTCTTAGGTCACATCCTGACGAAGTGTACTGTCCTCGAGAGTGGAGTCCAAGGGTGGGAAGCGCTGCTCGGCAGCTGGCCCTGGGAGCTATGCCAAGCGGCGATCCCTTTATGCTTTATAAACTTGACACTTGTGACCCAAACGTGGCTTCAGAGAAGGGCGGGCAGTGTTGGTCCACCGGGGGCCACCAGATGGCGACATTGCTCAACAGGCGTGAAAAGCAGGCACGCCCCAAGGTGTAGCGTTGACTTAAAAGGCAAAGATACCAGGGTGCTAGATGGACCGGTGGTGATGAGTTTTCCACACCACGTGGTAGAGCTTGATCTTGGCTGCTCACAGGGGTGAGTAGAGGGTATCCTGACAGAGGTCAGTTGGGCCTCACTGCTTCACCCCAACTCCCCTCCTTTCTGTGTTCTTCCCTCCCACACTGCCCTCGCCCCTCCTCACTGCCGTGTTATAAAGCTAGGTGTAGTTTTATTATTGTTCCTGGTCTTCATTTTTTTAAGGAGTGAGTACACATCTTACCTGCTTTTTTCTCTTCGTTGTGTGTGCATGTTTGTGCGTGCACAGACACACACGCACACCCCTCAGTTGATTTTTATGGTGATAAAGTGTCAACAAAAGAAACATTTCCTGCCTTGTAAGTACTTGCCTGTTTTCTATAATTCCTAATGTGTTTTCCCACATTATCACATACACGTAAACATGAGGGAAGAAAGTGTTATTCACATACGTGATGAATCATATGAGATGCTCTTTCATCCATTCAGTATCTATGCAGGAGGAGGCAGCAGTGACCACATAGACTGGAGCCCTTTCTCTCAGAGCTGTGAGGAGGCCAGCTGGAAGGGTGGACAGATGGTGCACCGTTTCATTAGAGTTTAATGCATGTTATGGTAGCGCAAGGGAGCTCTGTGGTGTAATGGTCTAGCCATTTGGCTGTTAACCAGAAGGTTGATGGTTTGAACCCACCAGCTGCTCTAGGCAAGAGAGGTGAGTCAGTCTGCTTCTGTAAAGACTTACGGCCTTGGAAACCCAATGGGGGTATATAAGGCAGAATCAACTCAATGTCAGGGAGTTTGGTTTTTGGATGGGAGAGTAATTTCACACAAATTGTGAGTATATGTGCATTTAAAAATGCATCATCAAGATGAATTATGTCGGTGAAATACATATAAGTTGAGAAATAACTGCTCATTTTAATTTTCAGGTTCCAGAAACCAATATCCTGGGAAAAGTTGGGCACGGCTATAAATATGCTATAGGAAGTCTTAATGGAGGTCGAATAGGAATTGCTGCACAGGTAAGTCAAAGTTCAGCCATTAGCTCCATTCTTCTGTCACAATGTGAATCAAAGTGCAAAACCGAAAACTTGTGGTGATCCAAGAAGCACTGAGCAACCTGTGAACACTAGATGGCGCTCCTCCCATGCAGAATGTGTGTGCAAGGGCTTCAGCTTGAAATCTTCCAAATTCCACTGTGGTCAATTTTATGTATTCAGGGAACCAAACAACCGCTTAGTAGTCACAGTTTTTCCACTTTGAAAACATTAAAGTATTAACCCAATACCTGGATTGAACTCAAATGTATGGTAAATTAAATGTGTCATTTTTTAAAATAATCTACTTTTCCAAGCATGAAATTCATTCTGGAAAAAATGGTTTAAATTAAGAAGAAATAATATTTATTCTGTGCGGTAAGGTCTCTAATCCATAGATAATGAAGTATTTGTTGATTGGTGTTTCACAAATGAAAAGCGGGCCAATTCTTTGGGCAACGAGATAAACCAGCAAGAATTAAATAGATACATGAGTACTGTTCCTTTTCTGTAGCCAGATTTGCCCCTTACAATGCACGTTTTACTTACATATTATGTCGTGTCAGTTATCTTACAGATTTAAAAAATGAATAAAGGCTTCAGTTTTATTGAAATATATCATCTTATAGAGATTTTTCTTTATTTTAATCAGTGAATGTATATAGAGAAGAAGAATGTATATAGCTTTTCACTTTTGAAGATGCCCCTTGTGTTAGCCCTTGGAATAGCTGAATAGTTGAATGCTTCTAAATTTTTTCTACTGCTGTTGTTTGAAGGCGCTTTGGTGGTGTAGTGGTTAACACATTCAGTTGCTAACCAAAAGGTCAGCGGTTTGAATCCCTCAGCTGTTCCGTGGGACAAAAATGAAGGGAGTCGGCTTCCATGAGGATTGACAGGCTGGGAAACCTATGAGGCATTTCTACTCTGCCCTCTAGGGGCGCTGTGAGTCGTTATCAGCTCAACGCAGTGTGTTTGGTTTTTTGGTTTGCTGTGACTTGACTTAACGCAGCATTCTTAGATGAAACCTCACCCAGTTTCCCACGAGCCCAGATAAAGTCACTAAAGAGCACTGGCCTGTCTGGCCTTTTGAAAGTTTCTGATTGAATGTCGTCAGCTGTGGCATTGAACCCTGTGGTTCTGAATCTCATTGTTTCCAGACATACAAATAATATAGATGTCTGGCAGTGAAGTGCACGGTCTGGGCTGTCGTCTAATTACTCCAAGTTATCTTATAACCTAATTAAAAGTTAAGATCGGCTAGTTGTTACGCCTTGGTTGGTACTGTGGGCGTCTTCCAATGAAGAGGCACATAGAGCTATGAGCCGACGAATCCGTCCTTGAAACCCCAATCAGAATTTCATTGAGTTTTTCAGTGTTTATAGTGAAAACACTTCACTGAGATGGAAGAAGTCATTTTGATTGACAAGTGGATGTTCCAGTCTTCTGGTGCATATAGGCTATGATGTCATACGGGGGTAGTGACGTCATCTTCTCTTGTAGCCGATGTGCACTGAGTCCGCCCCCTCTCTACTTCTGGTGGTGTTTGTTTTATTTGGGTCCTTTAAATTTTGACATAAAATTCTGTTCTCCAGAAAGTTCAAAATAAAAGGCAAAGGGAGAATGTGAGTGAACAGTACTGAAATATTGATAAATTTGTGGGCATTTCCCCTATAAGCTTTAAGTATTTTTTTCTCCCGTCCTTTTTCTAAGACCAACAGTTTGACATAATTAGATAGTGATTTAATGGTGCTGTTGCAATTTAGAAACCATTTCTAAGCTTGAGTTGGAGGTTGGGTGGCAAGGAGATGGTTCAGCCACCGCACTGCCGCAGCCGCTGGGTCCTTCGCGTGTGAGTTCATGTGCTCGCGTGAGTTCGTGTGCTCGCGAGACTCCCTGTGTGTGCTGTGCCTCCGCCTCCAGTCACAGAGGAGGTCGTGGAATGCTGATGTTCGGGCTGCGCTTCCCCACGAGTCTGATTGCTCATTGGGCCTGGGCGTCGGTGTTTTTGTGAAGTTCCCTGGATGACTGCAACATGCACTGGGCTTGAGAAACATTGCTCTTTTATGTTGGGGTGCGTTTTCTAAACGCAACGTGCTGCCGTCCAGTCAGATCAGACTCATAGCAAGCACTCCTGGGGTTTCCCAGGCAGTATCACTATGGAAGTAGATTGCCCAACCTAACTTCTGGGTTTGAACCGCCAGCCTCCTTCCTGGTTAGCAGTCAGGTGCCTTAGACACTACGCTACCAGAGCGCCCCTTTCTGCTGACACTCTTCTGAATCCTGCTCACATGCAGAATGGACAGGAAGCTAAAGTGACCTTCTTCAACATTGGGCTTCTACAAGGACTGGAGGGACCCTGCTGGCTCCGAGGCTCCTTCTAAGCAAACTGTGTGGCTTGCTTCATACCTGAAGAATAGTGCTTAAAGGAGAAGGTTCCAGAAAAGGGCCAGATGTGAGCACGGCCCACCGAGAGGTCTGCCTCTGTGCCAGCGTGGAACAGACTCAGATCCCTGGTGTCGCTCGAGCAGCCTCCCAGCCCCACACACAGCGGGTGAGGGGTGTTCCCGACACACGCCTCACACGCCTCACCACCTCGGCTCCTCCAGGCCTCCCCTGCCCAGTGGATGAATTTACGGTACAAGGAAGTTACAACGCCAAGGAACTTGGAACCAAATGAAAGATTCCGGTCTCTCTTTGTTTTTAACAGATGCTGGGCCTGGCACAAGGATGTTTTGACTGCACTATTCCGTATATTAAAGAAAGGGTACAGTTTGGCAAGAGGATATTTGACTTTCAGGTACGTCCTGGTTGGCGTCTCTGCGCCCTGGCTCTCCTGCCAGCCGTTGAGGAGGAGCTGCCCTGTCAGACCAGGCGGAGACTGCCCTCCGAGGGATTTTACTGGGAGGGGTGGGCCTCCGGAAGCGCCCTGGGAGTGCCTGGGCCTCGTGAGCACAGCCGTCCTTGAGGACCAGCGGTGGCGTGAGTCAGGACGGTCTGGTGGCCACTTGAGGGCTGTTTCCTTACTGCTTGTAGGTTCGGGGCTACAGGGTCTACGCTCAGACGCACAGGGCTCAAATCCTGCTTCTTCTCTTGCTGGCTTTAGGCCTTGGGCAAATTAGCTCGCCTGCCTGAGCCTCAACTCCCTCATGTCAAATGAGGACAGTGCCACCTACTTTGTTGCGTGGCATTAGGTCAGGCAGGGGTCACTATGAGTCAGAATCAACTTCATGGCAGTGGGTTTGGTTTGGGATGTACTGAGTATTTTAAAAACGTTGAGAAACTTGATCTTTAAAAAGCAGCATTATATTAAGTTTATACGTTTAGGTGACGTTTTGATTAACGTGCATGGTTTTTTTTTCCCATCTTGTGTACTTTATGTTCTTAGTGTGACTTGGTTTTGGCCTTGCATGTGATCATTTATCTCTTCCTCTCATCTCGACTGTGAGTTGTGTGACAGTGGGGTCAGGCCTGTCCTTGTTTACTTCGTTTGTTGCTTTGGCAGAAATGTGTGGAGCATGTTTTCCGTGCCAGGCTCTGTGTTCACATGCAGTCAAAGAACCAGTATCTGCAGGTTGTCAACAGTCACTGTGCTGCCTGCCACGCCCCTATTATGGTAGCTAGAATCCACAACACAGATGGTAACTGTGGGTTGGATGGAATTGAATGTACTTTTAAAAAATAATCAGAATCTCTGAATTCCACAGGCCATAAACAATTTCTAGAGCAGTGATGTTACAAGAGAATAGATTGATTGACTGATGGAACAAAACAGAAAGCCCAGAGATAGAACTATAGATGGAAATTTGATCTGTAACCAAGATGGCCTTGCAGATAATTGAGTTTGAATAGTAAATCTTTCTAGGTGGAAAAAATAAAACTGGATCTGTACCTCACACCATACAGAAAATAGAATTCAGATGTGGTGAAGAGGTAATGTAGGAAGCAAAACTTTGAAAGTTTTAGGAGACTATCTTTAGGATCTCCTGGAAGGAGAGATTTTGTAAATAGGATGCAGAAAGAGCTAATCATAAAGGATAAAGAGATTGGCGAATTTGATAACTAAAGTTCTTTAACTCAGAAGGTGCTATAAAGTGAAAGACAAGTCATAAGGGAAAAAATACTTGCTTTAAATAGAAGTTTGGGTTGATGGATGTTCAGTTTGTCACTACCCTTGGTTACCTCCATATGTAACATAGTCTTTGTACATATTAAGTATAGCACAAAGAAGAAGAGAAGAATCTACAAGATATCTGTGGACGGTGCTGCCCTTGGCAGCATTGTCATTTTTAATAAATACGTCTCTGCCTTCCATTCCTAGGAAGCTGTTTATAGATACTAACCCTGGAGGCGCATATTCTCATTCTTACTTGGACTAACGATAGTGTGTGCCTACTCACCCCTCTCAAATTGCAGGGTGGTGGTAATTTCTTCAGAGTGCTTTATTTAATGGTTATTCTTTGTTTTCTATACGCTTGAAGAAATTGGTTCTTGTTCATGGATATTGCAGAGAATGACCTTAATAACATTATTTGAAGAAAAAAAAATAGTGCATGAAATAGTCCTTCCTCACTTTACAACTCACATCTCTAAATGCCTTCAAGCCATATGCAGAATCACAATCCAAGCAAATGAAGAACATACTCAGATTTTTGTTTTGCCAGGTTTAAGTTCAATTTTGATCATAAAAAGGGTTGGAAATAATTGTTCAATTAAACAGTCAGATTTTTAAACCTAACTTTAAATTTATTATTTAAATCTTGACAATTGTAAAGAATTACATGAACTTTGAAGAAGTTCCAAGAAAAGAGGATTTAGCAATGCACACAGCATCATATTTCATTTTAGATTGCATATTTTAAAGTATTTAAGAGATGCATGTGAATTTCCTTTGCACTGTATGAGTCTGGGATGTATGAGTCAGGCAGTGTTCTCTAGCCAGGCCGGACTTTGAGGGTGTGTTTTCAGAAATCCAAATTCTCTGAACGTTACAGGGCCTCCAACACCAAGTGGCTCACGTGGCCACCCAGCTGGAAGCTGCCAGATTGCTCACATACAACTCTGCTAGGCTTTTAGAAGCTGGAAGACCATTCATAAAAGAAGCATCTATGGCCAAATACTACGCATCAGAGGTAAATACAGAACCTCAATAATGTGACTAATTGTTTCTTCAGGCTTGTGTTTGTTAGAAGTAGGTTGAAAGTTTGCTTTTCGAGTAAAATACTGTGGGCTTCCCAGCTACTCTGATGGAGAAAGCCAGGCTGCCAGAGGAAAGTCTGTTCCTGTGAGCCTCCGTGTTTCCCCAGGTCCTCTAGGAAACGAGTAGCCCACCCATGTAGAGCATCCGTGGTAAACCCATGGGTGAGTGTCTTCGTTCTCTAGTGCTGCTCTAACAGAAGTACCCTGCGTGCATCCCAGCCAGGAGGTTGGAAGTCCACATCCAGGCACCAGCTCTGGGGGAACGCCTTCTGGGTCAACTCTGAGGGAAAGCCCTGGTCTCTCGCTTGTTTCCTGGTTCCTGGAGCTCTCCGTGTGGCTTGGTGTCAGTCTTCCCCCATCTTTACTTTTCTCCCTTGGCCATTTCTTTTACAGCGCAAAAGAGATTAATTTAAGATACACATTATGCTACTCCGGCCTCATTAACACAACAAAGACAACTTGTTTCCAAATGGGATTATAAGCACAGGCATAGAGGTTATAATTTTAAACACATATTTTGACAGGACACAGTTCAACCCGTAGCATTCCATCCTTTGGCTCCCAAAAATCCCTGCCCTTGCCACATGCAAAATACATTCATTCCATCACATTATCCCAGCAGTCTTAAATCTACTTCAGGTCCAAAATCTCATCTTCGGAATCATCTAAATCAAACACGAGGGAGACTTTAGGTATATTCCATTCTGGGGCAGAATTCCTCTTCACCAGCAAATTTGTGAAATCTGGAAGGTTATCTGTTTCCAGAGTACGACGTGGAAGAGGCAGAAGGGAGACATTGCCATGCAAATGGGAGAAGTTAGAGGGAAGGAAAGGACAGTGAGCACAAGGGAAGTCCAAAACCCAGCGGAACGGCTGACATTGGCTGTCAGGGCTGGAAGATAACTCTGTTTTCTGAGACCGTCGGGGCAGTGGCCCTGCTCTCCAGACTCTGGGTGTTGGCCGTGCCTTCTGGATTCTGAATGGAAGCACCTCAGCGCCGGGCTTCGGCTCCACCAAGGCCCACTGCGACGGCAACAGAATCGCTTCCTTGGCTTTGAGTGACCCGTTCTCCTAGTTCATCTGAGCAGTGACCTCAGCCCCAGCAGGCCCCGTTCCTCTGTCCCTTGAGCATGGCAGCCCCACGTCCTCAACTCTGGACAACAGCACACTTAATGGCAGCTCCAACTCCAGAAGCGAGTTGGTGAAGATCCTACTCTTTGAAACCAAGAAGGCCCTGCTTGCCGTCCTCCTTCCAACAGCTCTGCTGATCTCTGAGCAGCCCCAGGGATGGTTCTTTTCTCAGCAACAGGTGCACCTCCTTTGTCCTGTTTGCTGCCTGTAGGATTCTAAGAGAGAGACAGTGTTCTCTTCTTTCATTCTCTCCCCCTTCAGCCTGAGCTGCGTCTGGCACCTCAGCCCCAGGCTTTCTGCTGTGGTAGTTGGTTAGATCCATCAGTCACAGGCTTAATCTCTAACAAGACTGTATAGCTGCATCCTTGGTGAACATTCCAGAACATGTGTCCATAGTTTGTACAACAGAATTTCCCAAATCTGTAAGTGTTGTTTTCATTTTGCACAGTTCATCTTCAAGGTCATCGTCCTCTCGCATTTTACCATAAGCCGCAAGGAGAAACCACGTGGCCCTTTTAAGATCTTCCTTAGATATCTCCTCAGCTAATATCCAGGTTCATCACTTACAAGTTCTGCCTTCCACCAACCCTTTGAACATAATCCAGACAAGTTTTTTGTCACTGCATGGGAAGCATCACCTTTCCTCCGTTGTCTAGTCACATGTTCATTTTATTTTAAAGCCTCACCAGAAGCACACCGACCACCCACATTCCTAGCAACGTTGTTACTGGCACCATACATATTCTCTGAGAGGACAGAGACTTTGCCTGGAGCTCTCCTCACTTCCTTCTGATTCCTCACCAAAATTGCCTTTGACGCCCACAATTCTACCAACAGTCTTCCGGACAGTCTAGGCTTTTGCTATTAAACCAAACCAAAGAAACCCACTGCCATTGAGTGATTCCTACTCATAGCAAGCCCCATTGGGTTTCCGAGGCGGTAAATCTTTACAGAAATAGATTGCCCAGTCTCCCTTCTGCAGAGTGGCTGGTGGGTTTGAACCACCAGCCTTCTGGTTAGCAGCCTTAGGCACTGTGCCACCACCTTAAAACTCTTCCAGCCTCTACTCATTACCCAATTCCAAAACTGCTTCCACGTTTTAGGTGCCACTCTTCTAGTACCCAGTTCTGTCTCAGCTCTCTAGTGCTGCTGTAACAGAAATACCGCAAGTGGAGGCTTTACCAAACACAAAGAGGCTTTCTCACAGTTCAGGAGGCTAGAAGTCAGATTCAGGGCACAGCTCAAGGGGAAGGCTTTCTCTGTCAGCTCTGTCTAAGGGAAGGTCCTGTCTCTTCAGCTTCTTTTCCCTGGTTCCTTGGAGATCTCCATGTGACTTGGCATCAGTCTTCCCCATCTCTGCTTCTCTGTTGCTAGTTTAATCTCTTTTTTATCTCAAAAGAGATTGGCTCAAGATATACCGTTCACTAATCCTGCCTCATTAACATAACAAAGACAATTCATTCCCAAATGGTATTATGACTACATTTATTTATATATATATTTATTTATATATAAATTACAGGTTAGGATTTAAAACACCTATTTTCTGTGTGTGGTGGGGGAGACACAGTTCAACCCACAAGAGTGAGCCTCAGTTTGAAGTTGACAGCAAGTCCATGGCTTCAGATTGGGTCAAAGTGAACACCTTGGGAGATGAAGTGAAAGATCTAAGGTTCATAATATTCAGATACTCCCCATCTAAGTCATGCCAGCTGCTGGCAAGCTGTTCTTTTGCCCCATATTGTTTATCACATTGTGTGACTATTGGCTTAACGTCTGGGTCTCCAAATGCCCACCAGGGCCAAGAGGACAGTGACCACTCTTCCCCCCAACCATTGTACCCTCTGTGACTAGAAGAAGGTACTGTATAAAGGAGGCACCCAGTAAACATTTCCTGAAAAAATGATACCTGTCAGCACCTGTACGAGTCTCAACAACACCCTGGTTTTCTTAAGAAAATAGGAATTTTGTGAATTAATGGGGTATTTTACAGACATGGAATGGAGAATGGGACAAAATAGGCAATGCTGGTCATAAAGTATCTTCAGTCTTTCCAAGGGCCAGGACCAGTGGGTCCTTATTTCTGACAACATCACACAAGTGTCTGTGGTGCTGCAGTTGTGTGGTTTCTGCGTGTGACCTGTTGCTTGTTTGGTAGGTGGCAGGACTGACCACTAGTAAATGCATCGAGTGGATGGGAGGCGTAGGCTACACCAAAGACTACCCTGTGGAAAAATTCTTCCGAGATGCAAAGATTGGTAAATCGATTTCATTTTTTACATTTTAGTTTTTGTTTGCCTCTATAGTGTTTTGTGTGTTACAGTTGTTTGCTTTTATCTTGCTGGCACCTCGACTAAGGAGGTTTTAATCTTTCCAGTGTATGTTTATTGGCTCTTTACTGATGACTGGGATTTTTCTCCCATTTCCTCCTTCAAAACTCTGTAATGTATAGTATTTAAAACTTGAAATTGCCTTTTCAGATGCCTCAATAAGCCTTTTACTAACACTGCAACTGTCTTCATTTTTCTTACTTTTACTAAAAATGTTACTCTTTAGGATGAATGTCCTTGCGTCTCTTGGAAGTGAAGGTCTAATTTCAGAAGCTAGGTGCCCACACACACACACACACACACATGAGTGTCTAGTGTTCACTACCAGAGAAGAAGACAGGAAGGTAGCAGCTTCAAGAGCTGCTTTTTGTTATTAACAGCCAAGCTTCCACACTGACAGTTCACAAGCCGCAACTTCAACGCTTTCATACTGAATCTGGAAACCCGTCAAGCATGTGGAAAATGGTTGCCTCTTAGCCAAAATTTAGCAAAAGCATTAGGTGAAGGAGACCCTAAATGGTTTCTGTATATGAATGTTTGTACATACTTGAGTCTCCTTCCATGCTGGCTCCTTGCACAGCTGGGGATAGGCCTCTGGTGACCTATGCGGTGGTGGCACCTGTCTTACCCTGTCGATCACCTGGTATCTCTGCTGCGTGAAAGGCAGTGTTGGGGTGAACTGGGTTGAAATCCCAGGCCTCAAACTCATCCTCAGGGAGAACCTAGTTAACCTAAGCAAGCCTTAGCTTTCTTCCTTGCAGAGACATAGTCATGTTGTGGGTATTCTGTACTGAGGACGGAAACTGCACCCTTTTTCAGGGTCCAAGCCCCAGCAGCTAACAGGTTCTCACTGAATATTTTTTGGGGAGAGGGAAGTACAGACTTTTCTAATGAGTGAAATAGTGTTTTGGGAACCTGTTGCAGAGTTCTCTTTAATGTGTCCTGGGTTTTAAAAGAACAAATGAGATCAATCCCAGAAGCACTCTTTCAGTTCTGACTTACTGACCCTCAACAGGAAGACGAGAAGCTGCCAGGAAAGCTCTTTGCAGCTTAGTTGGTTTTTTTAACTTTTTACTATGATTTGGTGGAAGTTTCCAGAGTAAGTTGGTTTTCCATTCAACAGTCCATACGCATTTTGTTTGTGACACCAGTTACAGTCCCCACCATGTGCCAGCTCTCTTCCCACTTCCTCCCTGTGGTTCCCATATCCCTCTGGCCTCCTTCCCGGTCACTTCCTGTCCTCTGTGCTTTACATCTCTGCGGAGCACTTTGACCGCCTCTGATGCTCTTGATTTTATTCACGAGTTTAAACATTTCCTCTTTTAAAGAAGAGTTGATTTGTAATAAAATAGTGGAGTTGCCATCTAGTGGCTAAAACATGAAACCGAAGTCTGTAAAGGAGGAGAAGGGGACAGTTCCGAACCATCTGGGCAGATGCAATAAGCTTGGCCCTTTTCAGCAGCCGGGGCAAAAAATAAAGCAAATGTTTATATGATTCTTGATGCTGGAAAGAGGAGCAGATCCCAGTTCTTGAAGAGAGTGCAGTAAATTCTCACTAATACGTTTTCAATCATTTTGTCCAGTAGTACCATATTTAGGGGACAATGAATGATGTTATTATTAACAGTTCTATGGCGAGTGCCGAGGCAGCATTTACAAAGCCGTTTCTTGTCTACCTCTTAACCACGGGCCCACTCCTCATTGTGCCTTTTGCTCCTTTTTGTTGAAGGTACGATATACGAGGGAACTACTAATATCCAGCTAAACACCATCACCAAGTGCATCGACGCAGAATACTGACGGCCAAGGGCATGGGCTACCTCCCTGACGTCACTGGCATAAGGCTGAGACTGTTGCCCCTTGTGGGGGAGTGAGCCCCCTGAGCACTGGAGATTTCCTTTAAACCTTTCGTGGTCCTCGGTGTGGACTTTTATCTTTTCAGTCTTTTGGGCATAGGAAATCGTATTCCAATTTGGGGAGAAATGCAGCCATAGTTTCTCTAAAATTATCTTCAAAGCTCAGTACTTACTCATACGATTGGCCTAGCTTTAGGGCATGCAGCAGTTTCACTCTGTCGGCACTTGGGAAAACAAAGACATTGGAGGTATTATTTATAGATGTGACTGTTTTATATTCTTGTGAAATCTGTATTTTGGGGCATCAGTCAAAAAAGAGGTTTGTTATGGGAGATAATTTTTATTGACTGTTTTATAAGATTCACTTCCAAGTTGCTAAACTAAATAAAAATGGATAAAAATTTACTCAAAAAAATTAAAAATTCAAGTTTTAAAATACCTGACTAGGTGGGGAAAGAGTATAATTGAAGCAGGCACTGTAACCAAAGAAAACCATGATTTGATCCTGGAGTTGAACTGGGTAGAGATACCTCTCAGTCGTTCCAGCAGGTCACTTTAAAAATCTGTCTCTGTCGGCAAATACTGTTACATGCACACCACTGCGTCACCTGTGGCAGCAAACACTAGTCTCTGGGTAAATGCATAGACAGCAGAGAAGATCAGGTGTGGGTAGGCGAACAGGAGAATACCCATGACCAAGGATAGATTCGGCTGAAGATGTTTTTACATGTGTATTTGTGCTACAAAAATGTCTATATACGTTACGGAAGTAACAGGACAGGGTTGGAGGAGCTTTTGAATGACAACCAAACACCTTGAGGGAGAGAGTTGCCAGGCCTGCAGGCTCAGGACCATGTTCTCAGGGGACATCAAGCTCAATTGGCGCAACATAGTTTATAAAAATCTTGTTTTATACCCTACTTTGGTGAGTAGTGACTGGAGTCTTAAAAGCTCTTGAGTGGTCATCAGAGTTGCAAATATTGGTCTTCCCTCATCTGGAGCACAGAAGAGTCAAGAAAATCAAAGTCATATGGAAACACCCAGTCCAAAGAGTCCAAAGATATGATGGACCATGGGGACCTCAACCTTCACAGCCCTGAGACCAGAAGAACTAGATGGTGCCTGGCCACCAATGCCAACCACTCGAAAAGGGATCAAAATTGGAGATCCTGCATAGAGTGAGAGGAAAACTGTGGAACAAAATTCAAAAACACAAAAATAACTAGAATTACTGGTCAGATAGAGACTGGTGGAATCCCTGAGACTGTGGCCCTGGATTATCCTTCAGGTCTGGAAATGGACTCACTTCTTCAGATTAACTCTCAGCCCAACAGTAGTAGAAAGATCTACAAGCAGAACACCTACCCCAGGGAGATGCACCCACTTACCCTAGGGAGATGCACCCCTCAGATCAATTAACCATGAGACATCAGAAGGGCAGTATTTACATAGAGGGAAAGCTGGACAGACAGAAATGCATAGATGAGAAGGACACAGGGAAAGGGTAGTCACAGGGAGGAGATGGGAGGAGAGCTGTTTATGGTTGGGGATTGTAATGTTATGTGCCGTAGAGTCGGACCCCACTCATAGCGACTCCTCCTTTGGTTGCCACCCGACTCATAGCAATCCCTCCTTGGGTTTCCGAGGCAGTATCACTGCGGAAGTAGATTGCCCAACCTTCCTTCCGAGGAGTGGCTGGTGGGTTTGAACCGCCAGCCTTCTAGTTAGAAATCAAGTGCCTTAGGCACTATGCTACCAGAGCTCCCTGGGGATTATAATAGGGGCCGTGAAATCAAACGTGCATGAACTGTTGAGAGTAAAATAAATCCTTTGTAAATTTGCACCCAAATCACAATAAAAATTTTTAGAAAAGCCGCAAAACATGTCTCTGTCAGTTTTCAAGTCTAAAGCTTAAATAATTTGGTTATTTATCAGAAAGTATATTATCAGAAAGTATTCAATATTGTAATATTCATTCATTCCACATGCACAATTTTTCAACAAGACAATACCTTTCTATATTTAAATTGAATACAGTTTCCTCAAAATTAGTTATTGAACTTTATAATGACTCGCAACTCAGAAATTAAGTTTTGGTCCAGTGATTCTCAAGCAGGGGATATCTTCCTCCTTGGAGGAGTGTATCAAAATCTTGTAAGAAATGGGGGACAGCAGGGAGAGTTGTGATGAGTTTGAAAAGCATATTCATTATTAAAATTTAAGCATATTCAATGTCAAAAGGCAAAAATAAACCTGTTGTCTTACTGTCTGGGTGTAGTGGAGATGAAGGTCACCTGCTGTAGATCTGGGTGTTGTCTTACTGTTGAGTGTAGTAGAGATAAAGGTCACTGTGTGTGGAGCTGGGTGTTGTCTTACTGTCAAGTGTAGTGGACACAAAGGTCACTGCATGTGGAGCTGGGTGTTGTCTTATTGTCCCAGTGTAGTGGAGATAAAGGTCACGAGCTCTGGTAGCCTAGTGGCTAAGGCACTTGACTGCTAACCAGAAGGCTGGTGGTTCAAACCCATCAGCCACTCCTCGGAAGGAAGATGGGCCAATCTACTTCTGTAGTGATACTGCCTTGGAAACCCAAGGAGGGGTCTCTATGAGTCAGGTCCGACTCGACGGCACATAACAACAACAGCAAACGTGTGGAGCTGGGTGTTGTCTTATGTTGAGTGTAGGGATATAAAGGTCACCCACTGTGGAGCTGGGTGTTGTCTTACTGTTGAGTGTAGTGGAGGTAAAGGTCACCGCATGTGGAGCTGGGAGTTGTCTTACTGTTGAGTGTAGTGGAGATAAAGGTCACCCACATATGGAGCTCTGGTAGCATAGTGGCTAATGCACTTGACTGCTAACCAGAAGGCTGGCGATTCAAACCCACCAGCCACTCCTCGGAAGGAAGATGGGGCAATCTACATCTGTAATGGTACTGCCTCAGAAACCCAAGGAGGGGTCGCTATGAGTCGGGTCCGACTCGACGGCACATAACAACAACAAGCTTATACAAAGGTTTATCTCATTCCAGCTCATTTTGGGGTCTGAAATTTCTACTTGCCTTCAGCAACCTAGGGCAATCTCCAGAAGAATTACAATTTCACAATAAATTTACTTCATCATTTCGGACTGCTATAGATCATGAAGAGCCTGAGTCCAAACAAATCCTGCAGCATTTAGCACAGGTGCTTTAGTGGTATAGTTGCCTATTACTATGCAAAGACCAGAATATTCTATAGGCATCTAAAAGGGGATTCTCTCTTAAAGAAAACCCTCAGACTTCCTTGTTTGGATCCAGCAGGAGAGAGCGTGCCTGGCCTTGGTGGGTAGCTTGTTTTCAGGCTTTCTGTCCTTTGTTGAGACTTGGCTCTCTTGTGTTCTTTTCATATTGTCCTGTGCTCATCTGTTCTTGACCTCTAGTTTCCCTACATTTTATAACCTCAGTTTGTGGGTTTCTTCCCTAAGGCTATATGATAATTACAGCTTGTTCTATGAGAAGAACCCCTCAGACCAATCCAACCTTCCTGTGCAAGTGCCCTTTGAAGGTTGACCAGGCAGCCTCTGAAGCTTGTGGGCCTAGGGCTGGAGTACAGTTGGGGGTCCAGCTTTGATCTCATTGCTTTGAATGATAATTTCATTTTCAATTAACAAAGAGAGTGATATTGCAGGGATCTCATTTGACCTCCTCATCTTGTAGATTTGGTGGGAATAACATAAATTTCCAATGCTCAGGTCAGTCATTAAATCATCTTTCAATAAATAATGTGTACCGTCCTCCTGTTTATACTTACATTGTTTCTGAGTTTTAAGAACAAGTGGGCCACCTCTCCAAAAGCTAAGGGAGATGGGCCCTGCATGTGCCCACAGGCCTGCAAGTTGGCATAGGGATAGGTCAGATTATATAACATGGTCTTCCTGGAACCATTTGTGCTAAGGACAAAGTGGCATGCACAGAAGGGATGCAGTAAGGTGTAGCCAGTCTTGTAAGAGACCCCCAGTGCCCCAGTCGCCTTGATTGCAGGACTTGCTGTTGGCAACCCTCATTCCTAACAAGAAGCAGAACCAGCACAACAAAGCCAAAGAGGGGCAGCACCTTGCTCAGCCGGGTAAGGGGACACAGGTCTCTTTGCTCTCCCTCCTCTTTTCCCCTGCCCCTAAAACTCCACCAGCCAAGGTAGGAAGGAAAAGGCCAAGGAGAGGGGAAGGGTGTGAACAACAAGCCCCTGCACCCCTACCCCATCCACACACTGCTAACTGCTAGAACCCCAAACAGGCCTGGCCAGTGCTGGAGTTCAGGGAGAGGAGCGTCGTAAGGGACATGAGTCTGAACTTGAGCAAAGCAAAATCTTAAGAACTGAACTGCACTTATCAAATCACCAAAAGTGACTTAAGAAGCTGTCATATTGAGCGGACGTATGTTATTGCCGAGGGAGTTACCACCATGCGGGAAAGAGGGCTTTGCTGGGGGATAATTGGGAATGATTATTGGGAAAATGATCCAAGACATTGAGACTCAATAAGTTGGTCACAATTGAAAACTGGGAATGCACTATTCTTCCTTGCCCTCGGTGGTGGACTGAGACCCATACCTGCCACCTTGTCCTTGTGGCCACCTCCTGGGATCTTCAGGTGCTTGCACTCCTTGGGTCCTGGCTCCATCTTCTCTGTTCAGAGGACTAGTTGCTTAAACAAGGTAGTCGGACAGATCTTACAGTCACAGAATGTCAGCCTGGTTAGGGTGCTAGGGCCTTGTTGACCATCCCTGTCTTGTACACAGAGGGGACCTGAGGCCCAGCCAGGGCCTTGCTCCTGTGACCATGCAGTAGTTGGTTAACAACCTGAGCTTCAATGTCAGGTGTCTAGAGGTTGAATGTCTACTCCACCGCTTTTTTTTTTTTTTTTTTTATTGTGATTTGGGTGAAAGTTTACAGAGCAAATTCACTTTCCAT